GCTGAACCAGCACTGAGCTGACAGGGCAGCATTGTCTACAAATCAGGGCTCTGACACCGGAGGACAACCCGCGCTCGCTGCTCTCTCCACTCAGCGGTAACAAGCACTTACTTCCACGATAATTAAGCATCTTTCTAGTCGGCTTCCTGCCTCGGAGGCAGCCGCTTTCATTTCTCTTGCAGCGCGTAGCATCGTTTTAGAAGACTCGCTGCTATTTAAAGGCTAGAACATTTAGGGGTGTTTCACAAAAAAAAAAAAGAAAGAAAGAAAAAAAAAAGGCACGCTGCCTGCAGAACGCGGGGCTGGGCTCGCGCCGGCTGAGTCTGTGCAGCCTGTCAAATAAAGGCCAATTGTTTTCACTTGCACTCCTCTTCACCATCTTTTGTGAAAGGGATAATGATTTTGCACTGTTAACCTACTTCAACCTGGCTTTTGAGCTTTCTAGATACTTCTACCCTCAGTCTGTTAAGGTTTCTCTTACATTCCAGAACTTTGCAAGCTCCTCTCTCCACTGTAAGCCTTCACGTGGCAGGACGTGCGAACTGTTGCTTCCCACAGCATCAAGGAGCAGCACACGTGGCTACGGCTAGGTCCAAGGGCTCCTCATACAAATGGAAGAAAAACCAATCCCAACAACTGTCTATCTTAAAAAAGAACCTGATTATTTTGATAAAATAATTTTTAAAATACTAGCATAAGGAATAATTCTAAGTAGATTATTTTAAAATTCGATGCTTTCAATATATAACCTCACAGGAATCCAAAGAAATCACCTTCCACTGTCAGAGCATTAATTCTCTATTAGGCCAACACACTGACCCCACTAGGATTAAAACAAAACAGAACTCGTCCTTGCCACTTTTCATTTGCCTTAGAAAATTATTTATTGCAGAACTGTCCTTGAGATATCTGAGGTTACATCCACTGTAGGAGGAAACTAAACCAGACACTAAAACACAATAAAGAAAACTGACTTGGAAATGCTCGATCTTCACCATCAGTATTCATCTTCCAAATCATCTCATACACTTTATCAAATAGGTTTTTTAAAACTTATTTTTAAATATAAAAATGTCCCAGCAATTTAAATGTCAAGACTCCTATTCCATCTCGATTATAACAATTTAATGGTTTTTTAAAATTTTTCCTTTCAAAATACAGATGGGCACATAGCCTTTCAAAATACAGATGGGCACATAGGAAAAGAGAGAAGCCACTGTTCAATAACCTATAAAAATTATAGAGGTTTCAGATGAGCAATGAGTTAAATATTTTTTCTAATCCTTAGGACCTTCCTTTCTATATTTTTCTCTCCCTCCCTATCCCCATCCTTATTTATAGCATCCAATCCCTTTGCAGTACCGTAATGGATTTGAACACTACCTAGCACAGTTAGAAATACAGGTGCTTTGTGCTTATTAAACTATGAGTCAAAAATAAAGGTGGCCATCAATGTGTCTTAGATAATGACAAATCAAATCTATCCCTTGGGGTGAAATAAAACAGCAAACATATGTTGATAATTATCAGTAATTCTTTTAAATATCAGCAACCCTGCCTAAGCATCAATAATTGTGGCAGAAAAGCAACAGAATTAAACAGAAGAGCAATATTCATTTATAGCGAGCCACCTCCATCTGCTGAAAGAGCAGGATAAAAATGTCCTCATTGCATGTTTAATTTTATTCTTCTAGGTACTATTTAAGTTTATGATAGGTCCATTGAGCCAGATAGTAAATCCCACTTATAGGGACCACCATTTAGTTCAAAAATTCAATTTTACTGGATGAAAATCTTTTCAAGGTCTATCACAGTTACCTACCACTCTATTTTGATAATGCCATTCTTCCAGAAGTGCTTTCTCCTCTCTTCTAAATAACTCTCAGCACTTCTACATTCTCTTCTGAGCATGGACCACACACCTGGTTCTAAGAATATTTGAAACCATCCCTCACTTGCAGGAAGCCCCAGGTGAATGGGGAAGATGCAGATATAAAAAGACCAAGTATAGTAAAGGTCCTGATGGAGATCTGCACGGGCCATGCTTTCTGACTGCACATCTCCTGTTCTGATGCTTTAAACACACGCTCTCTCCTGGTGGGGCTCAGTCGGGCCACAGCAGGTTGGCCATTCAGAATATCAAGTCTTCCTGAGTGCTAAAAGTGGACCCCTAGTGATTTCAGAACTGCTAAAAACAGCCCTTGATGCCTGGCTCTGTGAGGCATTTGCACTCTTGACCTCTTCAACCTTCCGGAAACCCTTCTCTTGATCTCTGTGACAATCATACGTGTCCTCATTTTCTCTTGCCTTTCACTTTTGACCTACTACTCAGTATCACTAGTGGGCTACACTGAAAAGCTAGGATCTCAGGGTGGAACCCTTATTTTACTTCTCTTGGCAGTTTTCATGCTTGGAAGGGGCCGTAAAAAGGATTTCTATTAGGATGCATGTGAGCAGTCAGTGCACTGGGATGAGAGTAGACAAGGGTACAGAGGAGTAGAAATATTACTATGAAAAGTGAGGTATATTATCTGTGCCAACTGAATGAAGGCAGAATAATGAAATTCCTGGGAGGTGTATCTGCATCGTAACCAGAATCCTGGTGGCATCATAGTGACTGCAGCTTTAAATCTCATCTACGCTGTTACTTCCAAATCCCTGGTCAAGATCCCTCATCCTGGGACCAGCAGTTAACATAATGGAAATGTCACTGGACTCCCACGTAGTCGACCATGGTTCGTGTCCCAGACCCGGTGGCTTAAAACTCACACCAGGCACGTGTGCGTGTGTGCCCAAGATCCCGAGAGGAGAATGGAGGAGAAGGGATTGCGGCGTGGCCATCCCCCCTGGGGGGTGATTTCTCGCTTTCTGTCTCTCTGTCTCTTTGTCTATCTGGCGAGCACATGTGCCCTAAATCAAAAACCTCTCCAAAATAAAAAAAAAGACCCCTCACCCTGAACTGCATAAAATATATGCGAGTGCCCATGTAATATCTTTCTTACGTATCTATTTTCTACAACGAACTAACAACCAGGAAGATGAAAAAAATATTCCCCCCCCCGAAATGAATGTGTGGTAAGGAAGTAAGGACAATAAATAATGCAAGGAACTGAATAAAAGGAACAACATGGGAAACTTCCTTTGTATCATGAACATAAACAACAATTTAGAGGTTATACAAGACGATGTGGGAAGGGGGAGGTAAGGAAACACTGCAATTCCTGTCCTGAAATAATGATAATGCAGCACAGTAGATTTATCAAACGATGTAGCATTCCTTATGAAATAGTACACTTCCGTATTCCAAATGCAATGCTGTTGAATTCCTTAACTAGGATAGCTTCAAATACAGAGCCAGTTCT